GAGGGTTGGACTAGATGACCCACAGAGGTCCCTTCCAACCCCTACCATTCTGTGATTCTGTGATTCTGTGAGATACACTAACTCTCAGGGGAAGGAGGGTGAACAGTGGAAAAGTATTGCAGTTTTTAGCCCCAGTGCACAGTCTGCCTGTGTTTCAATCTGCAATACAGAGCTCCTCTGATGACTGCAACACTTGTGATTTTATTTTCCAGGAAGATTAATACAGAGATGGTAATGGCCAAAAAGAGTCCACATATGAATCTCAAAGAGAGTAATGCAGCTGTAAGGCAGTTAGGTCCTGTTTCTGTTCTCTTGCTGAGAAACAACCACTTGTAGATTGGTAAACAAAAGTTAGTACTGTCCCCGTGAGTTATTTTTTAGAAATCCAAGCATAAATGAAGAGCTATGGGTGAGGGGATTGTCTGTCTGTATGACTGAAGTGGCCAAACACTTTTGGTCATTATTGAAAATTACCGTCATTCGATGACTGCCCAGTGACTGCTTCAGCTTCTCCTTAAAGAAATGAGTTGTGAGAGTATAGAGAATGGGCTTCAAGGCACTGTGCATTGGCAGAACAAATATCACTATCCGGGAAGGGACGGTGCCTAGGAAAAAAGGTGAGATACTTCGTATGCTCTGTTGTAGGAATGCTAAAGAAGCAAACATGTCCTTATGTTATTTTTACTTAAAGTCCTTTATTTTACTTTATGTCACTTCATATCATTTTTTACAGAATGCTACCTTAGTAATATTTTTACAGTAAAGGAGTTTGAACTCAGCATTGCTCAGTGTGGTTTTCATTGAGTTCACCACGGGTTTTCATGAGAAGGGGAAAAGACCTTTTCACCAGAGAGTGCCTTTCTCTACTGGAATTTAATAAAAGGACTAAACATGAGCTGAAGTCCATCTCTGTTTAAGACAGTGTTTAATATAAATCCAAATCCCACACCTATTTTTTATGTGGCAGTTTTCATCAGTACCTTTCAAAAAGCCTTACAAAAGCTATTGTTACTATTATTTTACAGAGGGGAACCTGGAGTACAGAGGGTTGAAGTGACTTGCTCAGAGGGCCATGAGCTGAGCTGTGTAGAGCCCCATCCCAGCCACAGTCGTTCATCTTCTGAACGCCCTCACGATGGCCGTGTTTTATTTTTAACAACCTAAATGTGATCACTTTTCTCCTGGTTACGCAAACAGATTTCAGTGCTGCCAGTGAGGCTAAATAAATTTTATGATAAAATCATTGACAATTTGCTACATTTCTTAATGCCTTTCATATTATGGAGAGCTATTTACCCAATCTTCTGCAAACATGAGGCATCAGCTTTCTAGAATTATAACAGGAGAGCAAGACACCTTTATTACCTTTTATCTGTTAGCAGCTGCGGGACTAGCAGGGCTGCGTATAGCCGGAGCAGTGCTGACAAGCTGTGAGCTTACACCCAGCTCCCCCACGGGCTGGCAGGACAGGGAGAGGGTGTGCTGCCCTGCAGAGCGGGAGGGCGGTGGCCTCCTCAGGACCCCCTGGCAGTCATTACCTGCACTTACAAATGGGGTCTCTGGGTTGCTTAAAGACCCACCTGTTATAGTTCTACTTCCCTGACAGTCAAACTAATGGACTTACATTACCGTGGGATTTTGCAGCTGTAGCAGGGGAGAACCTCTTTGCTGGAGAGCTTATTCTGGTTCTCGCCTACATATGCCGACTGAGGATTTTATGTACAGACTTCGAAGCTCAGTTTCTGAACACAAAGTGCCCCAGATATATGGGGCAATACTTACTCTTCACCCATGATTAGCTAGAATTCCTCTGGCAGAATTGGTTTGGTTTAAAATGAATCTTTAACAAAAGAAATCACACCCTTACACAGCATTACCTGTAATTTCTGCCTCGAATAATGACAAAACCAGGAATCCAGCAGATGGCATCCGTGAATACTACTAAAAAAAAATATCGACTGTCAACAGCAACATCCCTGTGAATGTGACTCCTTACTTCTGATGTCTGAAGGGCAGTTTTTTGAACAAAACAAAACATGCTGACCTATGAAAACACGATGGTGATGGAGGCTGGAAGGTTCACACTTGTGGGGAAACAAGATTTGAAACAAATGGCATTGAGATGGTCTTTGCTCTCTTCTGTTTCTCCCGACCACTTACCTGTTTCATTCCCTTTCATTATTTTGCTAGAATTTTTACGTTAATGTGTCTGTAGCACATTGATACCAATTTTACGTTAGAAACAGCTCCTCGGTATTGTCTGCTGTCACACAGCCTGCTCACATACCACGTGTTCCCATCTGTTACACAGCGAGATGTGAAGCAGTTGTAAGAAGTTACTATAGAAACACAGTTAATACACAGTATGGGTGGGCCCATGATTCCACAGAGATCTGGTCTCCTGACTGGAAATGCTGCAGTAAATCTGAAACAGAAACCACCTGCAGGACTCTCATGTAGTGTGGAAAGAACAAGATATTCCCCGGCAAAGCGACAAACCGATCTGAGGCGTCTGTTCATTTCAGACTGGCTTCCTCGGTTCTGTATACCCATCGCAAATTACTGATGGAAGAACATGTGCAGAGCAAGCTGTGCGACTCGGCTTTTGATCGCGCTGCGCTGTGTTGCAGAGCAAGGCTTTTAACAGTTCATCAGGTGGCAGCTCCATGGACTGGAGCACTCCGATGAGTAGCTGAGGGCCACTGAAGGAGCCATTTATGTCAAGATCCCAGCACCTGAAAGCAGGCTTTTGCTCAGAAATATGGATTGAAACAAACTAAAAGAATTGCAAAGTGTAACACAGTAATTTTATTGGTGGGAAATTGCTGCATGAATCTGTTTTGACATGTTTGTTGCCTTTTTTACTTTCTACTTGATATAATTCTTAAAAACTAGTTTGATCTTTTGGAATGTAGCTTTTTCATCTTTTTGATATCAAGCTAAGATGAGGAATGACTATTAAATAGGTGCTGTCAAAATAATCTCTATGTATCTGCAAATGCAAGTCAGGGAGAAGATCATTTGGTAGCTGTCTTTGCCGTGAGAGAGTGCTGAGACTGAGCATGAACAGCTCAGATATATTTCAGGCTGAAGTTTCTGGGGCTGTTCATTTCCAGTTTAGTTTATACATATATATATATGTATGTTTAATCATTATTCCCTGCCAGTATAATGCACATAAAGCCACACTTTCAAATTTTCATCCATTTTTATTTATATTATCACTGTTTTCTGCAATCCAGTGAAGACTGCATGGAGTAGTAGTTGAAGGTTGCTATTTGACTGATTTATACAAATGAAAAGGTTTCAAACCATTGGGCTGTTCACACAGTATCACTAAGTAATTTCATTATCTTATTCCTATTCAAATTACTATTTCCTTCTGTGTCTTCGCCTCTTCTTTGTGACACTTGCTTGTGATTTGTTTAAATTAGATACTAAACTCTTCAGATGACATAGACCTTTTTAAGTGTGCAGCCAGCACACAGCACACAAGGCTCTGCTCCTGTTGTGGGCCTTTGGGAAGTATTACAACATGAACATCAAACGTGTAGTGAAAAGTGCATCTATCAGTGAATGTTTTGTAGGCTGACTGCCACTTTTTCTAATAAAATAGTATTAATGAAGAAGTATAGCATACTAAAAATTAAACTTACCAAGAAGAATACCAAGGGGATACCTGTTGCCTGCAATGTCCTCTCTTTCATCAGAATTAGGTAGGAAACAAACTCAATTTTTCCTGTAATATTTGCCAAAAAAAGAGTCCCCATCCTAGACTGTGATTATTGCTATGACAAACTCAGAAATCCATATCAATATAAGAATTACTGCAGTCTGCTGCCTTCCAGGATGGATATTACTGAAGGGAATGATGATCACTAAATAATTTTCCAAGGTCAGATACTTCAATAGCAGAACCCCATGATATGGCATGGTAAACTTTCCATTCACAGCACAGCATATTTTTTGTACTGTCCATGGTATTTAGTATCAAAAACTCCAATGAAGAACAAATACACTCCCATAAGACAATCAGCAGCTATGTAAGAAACAGATTTCATAATTTGCTGAAAAAAATCAATGAAATGCTTATATGTAGTCTACTTTGATGTTTAACCAAACTCTAGCTGGCATTCAAAATAATTTAACTGTGATTCTGGCATCAGAATTCATGTGCTGTGGGGCTGTGAGCCCCCCAGTCACAACCGGGACAGTGGCAGCTGGTGTCGGGACACAAAGGTAGACGTGTTGCCAAATGGGTCTCCCATGAGCACACAACAACCTGGGGTCAGGGTTGCTGGATGTGGCCGGCGTGGTGGCTTTTGCAGACAGCAGAATAGTATAGAATCGTAGAATCATAGGTTAGAAATCATTCAGGTTGGAAAAGACCTTTAAGATCATCAAGTTCAGCTGTAAACCTAACACTGCCAAGTCCACCACTAAGCTATGCCCATCAGTGCCACACCTCCACATCTTTTAAACACCTCCAGGGAGGGTGACTCAACCACTTCCCTGGGCAGCCTGTTCTGATACTTGACAAGCCTTTGGGTCAATACTGAATCGCTGCAATGGCTGCATTTGGCACACAAGCAGCCAGCATCGGAGAGAGGCT